TATAAGGGTTGTTGTTTGTAGTTAAGCGCAAAGCTACACAAAGGGCTATCTGTGCTCTGCCCACCACGGGTATCGAAACCCGGTTTCTAGCGTTGTAAGTCCGCAGACATACCGCTGTGCCACTGGGGGGCTATATATAAGGGAAACAACTTTTCATGTCTTAAGATAACCTTTCATTAATCATATATTTCGTCCAGGGGACGAGTACTATAGCTAGTATATATCATATATATATGTTTTGGAACAGTATAGCTGACAGTGATTTCTCGCGTAAAACAACCAGTACAAAACTTCAGAGTTAGTGTACTGACAAAGTTTATGTATTATTTTTAAATGAATTCAGATCACGATTTTTACAGTCTTTTTTTATACACACTTAAAAACAATCCTTATATCCAAAATGACAATTCATTTAATCGAAATGATGAAAATGCTCCAACCGAAAATCGGCTGGCTGCCAACATGGCCGTTTGTTACGATGGGGTGTATATTTAAAAAAAAAAATGTCTCACTCGGTCCTTGCTTACACGACTATATTTTCTGAGACCTCTTTAATAGGTCACAGTATCGTACATATAGGTGGAGGCAACAGAGGCAACTGCCCCAGGAGCCCGCAAAACTCAACTCGTAAAAGGTCCACTTGTGGGACATATAAAGTTAATCCTTCATTGTGCCCAATAACTCGTCTCATGATATTCAGTTCCAGCTCGTATAGCCTCTCTTATTGAGATATACAAAAATGATCACTATTGGAATCCTTTATTGTGCCCAAAGACTCGTCTCATGATATTCAGTTCCAGCTCGTATAGCCTCTCTTATTGAGATATACAAAAATGATCACTATTGGAATCCGGGAGTCGGCCTGAGATACAGTTGGACCTCGTGAAAGGTCTATTTACGAACAGGGCCAGAAATGAATCATCTCTTTACATCCCATCCCACCGTAATATTACACGAAACAGTCGAAAACTTGACTATATTTTATTTATGTTATTATTTACTTACCTAACATTAGTATAGGTTCTGCAGAGGGGGGAAAAAATTTCTCTAATGGCCTCCAGGGGTAATTTCTAAACTGTTGGTACACATTATTAACAATGGAAGCGACACATTTCTTGTAAAAATAATACTAGCAATCACTTGGCAACAGCAACAACATTAGTTTAGTGCGTGTATTAGGTAAACAAATTAAACTTCATATTGATAATACTTTAAAACTAAGATGGTTCGCATTTTGAAAAGATGTCTATATTGTCGTACAATAACAAACATTAAACGTATTTAGTTCTTCATAGGGCTTCACTTTTTCGTCCGTAAATATCTCAACTACTTTAAAATATTGTAATTTTTAAACAAAAAAGAATATTTCATTTTATATTCTGTACAGTAATTAAAAAAAAAGAAGTTATTTATAGGACTAACGTTCTCAGTGGCGTATCCAGGGAGAAATTCCCGTTTGCCCAAAACACACATAGCAGCGCCCTCTTTCATTTTTCTATTTGACAATATTACACACTATATTCTTAAAGACCCAAGTTTTATATTTTCATTATCAATATTTCATTGAAATAAATTTTTTGAAGTTAATATTTCTTGAAAAACCTAGAGATAAATTAATTGTAATCGTTATTTTAATATACACAATAAAATCTTTACTCCGAAGCCAAATAGATATTACAGAATAAATCAATGACTCTTGACGTTAAAGCAGATACAATCACAATTAATGTGGTCATGACAAAATAATAATAACTGAAATAAAAAACTAAAAACAAATATAATAAAAAAACACTATATTGTATGCCCTATCTTCTAAAAGCGATAAAACTTATTTTGAATAGGAAAAAAAAAACCCAAAATATTGAAATTGAGTTTGAAAGATCGAATAACAAGCGTGGTGTTTTTATTTTTTTTTTCACAATTCCTCTCAGGTTTTTCGCCGATTTATCACCCGCCATTTTAGAAGGCAAGGGCCTTATGTTTTCGGGTTATTTTATTCTATATAATTTGTTTTCTTTCAACTGACGATCACATTGTTGCTTGGGTTACCTCGAGTCGTCTTATCATCTTCGTTCGGTACACACACCGTCTTTACATGCCTGGCAGAGGTCGCTGTTGTGCGGCGTACGAGGCTTTCCTGGTCGGCGGCTTCTGTGGATTGGAGGCAGATAGAAACCGTAATAAACCTGCCCCACTCGGTTGTAGACGTTCGCTAAGACCTGTACCAAATACGTACAAAAAACATAATTACTAACGGCTATAGTATTTACTTAAATGGCAACGTGCGCATACTTGTTTTTATGACGTCAAACATATTTACTGCTTACGTTCTAAATACAATATAAAAATAGTATTCCAAATGAGTGCAAACGATACAAGCCCGCATTTAATTTATCTGGGCGTAGGTTGGTCCCATGGTAGAGCTTTGGATTTCGAAACTGGCGAGTCGGTTTAGAATTCGTGGGTTTGTTTGTAATTAAGCACAAAGCTACACAATGGGCTATCTGTGCTCTGCCCACCATGGGTATCGAAACCCGGATTCTAGCGTTGTAAGTCCGCAGACATACCGCTGTGCTACTTGGGGGGGGGGCAGAATTCGTGGGACACCACGAAGTATTCGCTCCACTTTTAAGTTGTGTGCGTTATAAGGGTGACAGTAAATCCCTTAGCGGGGACGGTTAGTGATAGGTTTACTGCTGATTGGCTGTTTTCTCTCTAATTAGTCGTTCAAAATTAGGGACGGTGGCAAATAGCCTTACTAACTTTGTCATGAATACAAAACAAAATTTTAATTTACCATTAGAGTTTTAAAAATTAGATGTCCTTCACAATTTATTCTGACGCAATCATACGTGACTATTCCAGATTTGGATATAATAACGCTCGAGAATCTCGTGCAGGCCGAGGTAATAGTTTTTTTTTCCCGAGATAAAAAGCACAGGCATGGCCTACTGATCAGCGAGTCCGGCTTGTGAATCCGAGGATTCATGGCTCACGGCACGTTACTGCAAAAACGCGCTCCGCACTTTGGCATCGTGTGTGTACGCTATAAGAGTAATGGCTAAATCCCACTATCCGGTCAGACAAAGTAGTCTAAGAATTGGCGGTGGGTGCCGTTGATTAGCTACCTTCTCTCTGGCCTATCACTTTAAAATTAGGAACAATTAGCATAGGTAAACTTTGAGTATCTTTTTTTTTTTTTGCG